TGTCATTAGGTTTGTCCTTCTTGCCTTCACACGTGGCCCGCGGTCCTTGTCCCTGTCTCAGGACAGACTGCCTTCCGCAGGCCCCCTCCTGCCGGCCAGCATCAGGACAGACCGTCCACAGGCACTGCAGCCCCGCCGGGCCAGAGCCTGGGCGGTGTCGGCCAGCACGAAATCAGCCCGCCCTTCCCAGGATGGCAAGAGAGGGCGGTCAGTTTATTTATGGCCGGCTCAATGAGACGTTTACGCTTCGGGCAGACTTTTAGGAACTCTGAAACAGTCTGCCTCGTTTTACTAGTTTATGTTGTTGGTGTTTTTGCTGATAAAAATTGTTAGACAGAGGTCGTGGTCTCCACCAGATCTGAGAAACAAAATCCAGCGTTCACCGGTTCCTAATTACACGTCAACGCCACGCTGTCCGGTAGGAAAAGGGGCGTGGACAGAAAGAGGAGGCGCCGCCCCGCCGCCCAAGGCAAGGGCGGGAGCCGCCGTTCTTGCTGGGCCTGTAAGCTAGACCCCTGGGGGAGGCTGTCCCCTTCCTGGAGGTCTCTGCGCTCACTGGGCGGGGCCTCGGCAACGCTGGCAGTGTCACTGCGGTTTGTCCCATGATGGAATCACCCGTCAAAACAGAAAGACACTCCGTTTTCAAGGCCCAAAAATTGATTTTTATGGCTGTTCTTGTAATTCCCTTTTTGAATTAGGCACATGATATTGATGTGGACCTACTTTTTAATCATAATAGCTCCTGACAAGGTAATTAATTTTAAAACAACGCTTTTTTTCTCCTGGTCCAAATGGCACTCTGTTGAAATTAAAAGTGAGGCCGCGGGCCGGCACTCAGGCGATTGCCTGGCTGAGGCGGCCCCTCCCCCGCCAGCCACCACCTCTCAGACCCCGCTTGTTATTGATGGGCGCAGGCCATTACCTCACGGAGCGCGGAGCCCAGGCAGATGATAGAGCTTGGGTTTCTAATGACAGCGTGACAAGGTTCCAGACGGGCCGGTGAGCCCCTCAGCCACCGCCCTGCGCCCCTGCGGGCGGGGCGCGCGGGCCCTGGGAAGGAGGCGGCATGTCCGCTCTCTGAACACTCAGAGGTTTTTCAAGTTTGTTGTCAGATATTAAGTTTGAAATTCGTTAGCTCTTAGGAAAGGAGTTTACCTCAAAATGGGCTCTACCGCCTAATGAGCCAAAAAGGTGTTGGCTTCCTAATTCACAGGCAAGTAGGGGGTCCGCTGCTCCCAGCTCTGTCGTCCCCGACCCCTCTCCGTCAGCGGGGGCGACCTCAGTGAAGGGGACGCTTGCGCCATTTAATCAGCCGGGGCCCAGCTCCAGCTCCTGCCCCGGAGCAGCAGCGCGTCGTGGGGCGGGAGGTCGCCTGGTGTCCGGTGAGTGCACCCCGGGCTGTGCTGTCCTGCGGGCCTCTCTCCGGGCAGGGCCGTGACGCCCTCGTTCCGCACCGCTGTCCAGTAGCCTCCATGTGGCCGCCAGGGTTTTGCGCGCATCCCTTTCCTGGGACGCGAGTGATTCTCCGCTGTCCCACCCAGTACGGCGAATTCCTTAGAGCTCAGGTTTACTGGAAGTGTGTTGGCTCAGGAACCAGTTAAGATTAACGGACACGCATCAGCTCCCTGCTTTGCACGCAACCCTGCCCCTTGCACCCGTCACCATGGGCTCGCGGGCCAGAGAAGAGTGTCTGGGGGAACGACCCTGCGTGACATGCTCTTACAGCCGTGTGGGCTACGGGCAGCACCACGCCCTGCCATGGCCATATGTGCGTTGGCTCAGCCTCAGAGGCCGTGGCACCACGAGACGCAGCAGTGCTGGCAACCGGGGGCCGCCGCAGCCAGGCGGTTGGGACCTGTGCCGCCTTCTCCGGACCCGCCCGGCGCGCAGGCCCTGTGCTGTGCAGTGAGCAGGGCCAGCCAGTCGTCAAGAGGAGCCGTGAGGACGTGTTGGCGCAGAGCCTCTGCAGGGGCGGGACGGCCACCCCCGCAGCCGAGCCAGGCCGCGGGGCAGCCCCTCCAGGGGAGAGAGGGCGCGTGTGCCAGCCAGGAGACGGGCGCTGGGGGACGAGGCCGCGGGACCGCCGGCGGCAGCCGCCCTCGCAGGCTGCCCCAGCCCTGGCCCCAGGTGCTGTGCTAAGGCCCTCGCCACACCCTCCGTCCCTGCTCCCCAGCGACAGCATGGGCATCGACGCTGCGTGGCAGAGGCGTCTCTGGAAGTATCGAGGGCTAGCGCTCTCTGACCCCCGGGGACACCCTGACCGTCCCTACCCCCGAGCCTTGCTCCTGCAGCCTTGCCAGCGGAGGCCAAGCAGGCCAGTGCGGGGCAGCCAGCAGGCGCTGTGGTGGGGCAGCGGCAAAGCAAGAAGAGGAAGCGTGTCCACCAAGGGCCTCCTGCCCGGGGCATGGAGCCCACGTGGCCCTGGCCCCTCGGTCCCTGCCGTGCTGCCGAGGCACGAGGCAGCCATCGCGGAGCGGAATGGATTTGCCCGGCCCTCGGACCCGGGGCAGCGCGGACGGGCGGGGCGTCGGGGCAGGGCTGCGTCCGGAGGGAGTGCAGAGAGCTGAGGCCGTGCCGGCAGAGGATGGACACGGGAGCCTGTGAGGCATGGCCGGTGAGCGAGCCCGCGCCTGCCTCCCGTGGGTGACTCTCCTTGTCCTGCGGGCGCTGGCAGGGGCGGGGCAGGGCAGGGCCGGGGCCGAGGGAGGCCGCACCACCCACGTCTTCATCCCTGAGCCGTGTCTGCTCCTCAGAAAGACTTAACTTCAAAAGAAGCCAGTGAAGCTGCTGGTCACGCGCACCGTTAGCAACACTCTGTGAAAGTGTGTTCTTTCTTTTCCAGTTAATGGAAACATTAAGCATTACTTCAAACTCTTTATTAAAAAGGAAGACGAGGCTCTTCACGGAATTCAGACAGACGGAGAGCAGCTAATATGCGATGGAAGTGGGCCAACAGCCGAGGTGGTTTTTAAGGGTCCCTGACAGGAGGGGTGCCCTGCAAAGTCAGATTAACTAGAGTGTCCAGGGTAGGTAATGGTCCACCGGCGAGAACAGGGAGCCTCTAAAAGACCCAAGCCGTCCGAGGAGTTCTGTGCATTGCGAGCTCTGCGGGAAGAACGTCGGCATTCACTGGGTGGCGCAGTTCATCGGCCACCGAGCAGTCGGCGCCCTCGGACCCCCGCTTCCCGCCACAGAGACCGGCGGCGGGGGCGCAGTGCACAGCCTGGGCAGGGAGGCCTGGGGAGCCAGCTGTCCGTTGCAGGCAAACTACAGCTTCTGCGCACGTGGCGCGAAAGGCCCGCAGAAGACGGAGCGCGGCCTCACCGCTCACCAGGGAAACGCTGGAGTTAAAGTGGACAAGATGAGGGTCCGGGAAGAGAACAGGGGCCCACCCAGGCAGGAGCAGGGGAGACGCAGGTTCTGACGGGCACACGGGAGGGCAGGCTGCCTCCTGGCAGTCACGTGGGTTAAAACAGAAACGGCGTCTCCCTCAGATCGGACATGTCGCGCAGAGCACAGCCAGTCCGCCTTCCTGGCCCGCGTGGCTGAGCCATCCGCTGCGGCCGCCTGGCGGCGCCTGGGAGCCCGGCCCGCCTGCCGCTCAGTCCTTGTTTCTCAGGCTGACGAAGTGAGTCAGAAAAGGCCGAGCCGGCGTCACGCAGCCTGTCCTGCCCGGACCCTGCAGGCCGCCCGGACCGGCCTCAGGTGGGCTGGTTGGGTCAGGGTCCCGGTGAATGACTAGACGCTTCCGAGCGACTCTGGCGCAGGCGTCCTCCCTGGCTTTGCCGCCCGCAGCTCCGCCCTGCAAGCGGATCGGTGAGACCGCCCTGGGCCGCGGCCTGGCACGCGCGGCCCCGGCTTGCCTCTCCTCCTGCACAGCCGACGTGGTCCGGCCGGCGACTTGTTGGCAGGGGCTCTCCTGCTGCTCTGGGACCAGGAGCAGCTAGCGCTTCGGCGGCCCCCAGGGCAGCCGCCACCACGCGATGGCGGCAGGGCGCGCTCTGGGAGCGAGTTCTCGGCTTCCGCGTCCGAGGGCCGAGGCTGAGGCCACGCTTGCCGCGGGCGCGTTTCTGTGGAGAGCCCGTCATGGACATGCCCTGACAGGTCTGACACATGGAGGGAAGTGTGTACAAGCCGGGCTCGGAGAGGCGACGTTGCCATTACCTCTGACTTGGAAACGTCCAAGAGCAGAGGACGCGTAAACACTTTCAGAGCAAGTCCAGGCGCCCCTGCCCCCCTGGAGGGACCGTCCACGGGCAGGCGAAGGCGGCCAGGGCCACTGGGGGCCGTCTCGCCCACCCGCTCCCTCGAGGCTGCCAGCCCAGCCCTCTGTAGCCCCGCGAGGGCTCACTGCGCGTGGCACAGGAGCCAGCACTGTGGCGCCGGCCTCCGAGAACAGAAAGCTTTGATGTGGGAGCTCAGCTGCATCCAGGGCTGCGGGCAGGTTTAGGGGGTTTCGGCACTAGGTCTTCCTGAACAGACCTTCTAGAAGGGTCCGGGTGCCCAGCTCCGGCTGTGCCCTGCCTGTGGCTCCGTGGGGGCACTTAGGGCTCACGATGTCACCCACAGTGAGAGGGGTGAATCGGCGCCGGGTCTTGCTGGAAGCAGGCAGGGCCTCGGGCCGGGTCTGCCCCAGGCCCCATAGGCGCCGCCACGCCCGGTCCCGGCAGCCCCCGAGGCCCGCGCACCCGGTGCGAGCCTCCGTTCCCCAGCGCAGGCTGCTGTGCCACCCAGGGTTTCGGCACCGCCCTGGCCCAGTTGATGAGGATGTGTTGGCGGCACACGCGTGTGTGGGAGGGAGCCCTGTGCTGCGAGGGGACACATGCGGCTGTGCTCATTGTGCTAAGTGTTGGGGTGGGTGTCTGCCTTCCACGGGGGACGGCAGAAAACGTATGGCGGGAGGCGGAGCGGGGCGCTGACGCCTGGCCGCGGCGGCCGGCACGCACGCACGCATGCACACATGCACGCACGCACCGTGTGACTGTCTCCTCTCCTCCCAGGATCATCGACCAGCGATTCGAGAAAGTGTCCTACTTTGTCTTTGGCGACTTCAACTTCCGACTGGATTCCAAGTCCGTGGTGGAGGTAGGCGCCCCGTCTGCGGCCCACGCGTGTTTAGTGGGGTGGGGGGGGCGGGCACGCGTTGTCCTTTCCGGGCCTGTTCAGTGTCGTCAGTCCCACCAGTCCCATTCGTGGCTAAAGCTCCCGATAGAGAAACGCCTTCCCGTCGGCCGGGGGCCGTCCTGGGAGTCGGGGGCAGGCTGCCGCTGCGCCCCGGGCGCTGCCCTTCCGGCAGCCCGGCCGTCGCTGCCACGACGGGGCAGGAGCCCCCGAGGGCTGCCCTCGGCAGCGTCCTCCGCCCTCCCTCCCCGTCGCTCGGCTACCCCACTCGGGGCTGCTTCCCGGGGTAAACCGTCACTCCGGCTTCGGGGACTCAGAGGCCATGTGTGCCCCCGGACACACCCACAGGGCCGGGGCGGGACCCCCACGGGCCCGGCAGGGTGCCCCGCCGAGGAACGCTGCAGACGGGAGCCCTCGTCCAGCGGCTAGCGCGTGGCGGTGCGGTCGGCAGGCTGGGCTCGGTGTGGCCCTGCTGCGTCCCAGCCGCGTGACCTGGGAGTGTCCCCTCCCTGGCTGGGAAGCAAGGCCAGCGGCCCAGGTGCACGGCCGGCGTCTCCCAGACGTCACCCACGGCAGGGGCGTGGGGACGGCGGGACGGGGCCCTCACGGTGTCGGGCTGCAGCTCTGGTGCCTGCCGGCTCTCCGGCAGCGGTGAGGGGAACGCCCACGCGGGGCCCGCAGCTGCGCGGGCAGAGGTGGGGGGCCGGCAGCCGTGTGCCAGGTGGGCTTCCCAAGGGCTCGGTCCCACGCCTGGCGCGGACCTCGAAGTCTGCGTGTGGCCACCATGGTGGCACCAACAGTGTGAACATGCGGTGGCCCCTGTGAGCTATTATTTTCCCATTAACAGCCTCGTTACAAATACCGTCAGACATTAATCTCCACCTTTGGTGGAAAATGATTTCTTAAAGACGGGCTGGGCAGGCTTTGATCATCCCTTGTCTCCTCTTGGTTGACAGACATGAGTAATGCTGTATTGAAACCTTCTTTTGTAATTAAATTAAGCTGGCAGCACCTCACCAAGCTGGCCTCACATGTACGTCTGTGAACGTCCAGCAGCCACCAGAGAGCACGGCCCCCTGACATCACGGGGCCGCTGCTGGGCGCGGGGCGAGGGCTCCAGCCGCAGGGGGCGTCCGCAGGTAGACCGGCGAGCTCCCCGGGGACCACGGCATCCTTCCTTTGGGGCTGCTGAGCTTCCGTTCCTTGTTTTGAAGGTGAAGAACCAAGCAGTCAGGTATCAGGGGCCCCATCCAAGGCCCTGAAGCCCTGCGCTCTGTCGGGAACTCAGGAGTAGCTCCTGTTGTGGTGAGGCCTGCCCCGGTGGGACCCCGCGCGGCCCCGAGGCCAGCGCCCTCGAGGACAGCCGCTCTGCGGGGCTGGGGAGGCTGCCTGGCTGGGAGATCGCAGGTCCCGGGCAGCCCCGGGGGCCGGGGCGGCCGCTGTGCTGGAGGAGGCCCCCAGCTCCGCGGCAGGGTCTCCTCAGAAGAGCAAAGGGGGCCTGGGGCGACCACGGCCGACCCGTAGGCGCCGCCCTGCAGGCGGCGTGTCAGGGTGGCGAGAGGTGTCCCCCAGCTGCCTTCCCGTCCCATGAGAGCCCGCGTCGAAGAGCTCGTGGGGGCAGCGGGCCTGGTGCCACTGAGGCAGCTCGTCCGACCGATCTGGGAGTCCTTTCCCTTCCTTGCCGGGCGCCTGGGCGCGACAGCAGGAGGCCTGGGTCCTCGGCGGGGTCGCCGCTCCGGGGCCACAGCCCACAACGAAGCCGGCTTGCCCGCCGCCCGCATGTGTGCGCCCGGCGCCCTTCGCCCTCCTCCCATGGAGCGCAGCCGCAGGTGGAGCTCCGAGTCCCCAGGGCCCCAGGCCCCGAAGGTCTTCACTTCCCGCCTCCCTCCACGAGGAGCGTCTGCTGGGGATGCGCTGGGGGGATGCAGGTCCCTGGGCCGGCAGGGGGCGGGGCCTGAGCCCTTGCCACATGGCACCCCTGCAGGGCCCCAGACGACCACACGGACAGGGAGGGCAGCCCTGCGCAGGCGTGGGCCATGGGCCACCGCGTCTGGCACCACGAGTCCTCAGCGCCGGCACGCCGCCTCCAGCCCGGCACTGCCTCTCCTCTGCGGGGCCAGCAGGGACCCCTCTCGTGACCCCTCCTCAGATGCCCACGTCACTGCCCGCAGAGTGGGTCCTGGGGACTGGAGGAGGCCTGTGCTCTCAGCTCGGGGTCACGCCCAAGCGGTGTTCAGCTCGCCTAGGGCAGCATGGCAGGGGCCCACCCGTGTCCTGGCCCGTGCTGGCGCTGGGCGTGGTGAGAAGGCCCAACAGAGGCGTCGGGGTGGGGGCGCGGCGGGGTTGGTTCATCTCGGGGGCAGGGGACCTTCCCCCGGGGAAGGTCAAGGTGACACTGTGGCTCAGCTAGAAGCCACGGCTCTGCCTGGGTTCCTTGCTGGCCCTGCCAGGAGCGGCGGGGCCAGCTGCCCTGGTCCGGGTGCCGGCCGCGGCTAACCCAGCCCCTCCCCTGGGCAAGAGGGGCCAACGAGCTGGGTCTGGGTGGCAGGGAGTCAAAGGCAGCGGCTGTCCCGCTGTGGCCACAGTCGCCGGGGCCCCAGGAGGGGCGGGGCACGGCCCTGGAGCGCCACGGCCCAGGGAGGCCTTCTGCTGTCCTAGTGGTGACGGGGTGGGGGGCCGCCCCCCCGGGGGAGCGGTGAGCCCAGGCGAGCCTGTCCCTGGGCCGCAGCTTCGCATTTCAGATGCAAAGTAATGCGGGCGAGCTCGCCGAGCAGAACTGCGAGGAGGTGCTGGGGTCCCATTTGGCGCCGCCTAAGCCGTAATTAACACACACATAGATTAAACACGGTGATCATGTGGCGTGTGAGGGGCCACACGTCAGGGGACTGATTAATAACGTGCCCCCATCAGCCCCGCTGGCGGGATCGCACAGGGAGTATGTTTCCTGCCTGCACAGTGGCAACTGGCAGCTGGGGTGCTCAGCTGGCCGCAGTGACAGAGAGTGACAGCAGTGCCAGGCTCTCCCGTCTCCGCGCGGCCCAGCGAGCGCCCACCTGCTCTCCGTCCCGCTTGACAGCGACGGTGACGGATATGTTTTGGAGGCTGGCAGCCATTTTCAAAAACCAGTTGCCAGTTACTGACAGGTACACGTGTGGTCAGGTGCCAGGCGGGCCTGGTACGAAGCGGGTCCCGGGAGGGCAACTCCGAAGCAGCAGCTGCCCAGGAGCTCCCAGGGCCGCGGGGGACCCGGGGGGACCGGGGGGACCGGGAGGGACCTGGGCGGAGCTGCATCAGCCACGCCATCCTTGCCTATTTTTTGGTTTGGGTTTTGTTTTGTTTTTTAAAGAGTCTTGGTTTAAAACAACAGAATTATTAATTTACATCACTTATTTTAATTACTGTCCTAAAGAGGCCCCTCTTTGATCTGCCTTGACATGGGGCCTGTGAGAGTTAAGCAAAAATGAGGTGTGATTTTGTCCTTAACTGGGACGGCTCTGCTGGTTTTTTCTTCGAGGGTTTGCTTCCCGAGAGTTTGCTTTGTAAACATGGGCCAGCATTTCCAGACAGTAGATTGATGTCAGAATAATTATTCCCATAATTACAGGAAAGGAAGAAAAAGAACGCGTCTGTGGCTCCCCCGCCCCCGCTGCTCTAGGACTGAGACTCTGCGTCCTGGGCAGCCCTGTGCTCAGGGGCCTTCAGTGCCCGTTCCGGGTGTTTCGCAAGGGCCAGCGTGGCCCACGGGCTGCAGGGCTCAGGGGTGTCTCCGCCTGGCCTGGCGGCGGCTCCCCGGGCCACTGTCCTGGCTGCCTGTGCGGGCCCGGGCCCCTCACACACGCTCTCACACGCTTATCTGGCCAGGCCAGAGAGTGGCAGGTCCCCGGCAGGGCCTCTGTGGGCAGAGCGCCCGCTCTGCGGCCGTGCCCATGCCGAGGGGCTGGTCCTGGGCCGGCGGCACGTGCCCCGGCACCTGCTGGACCCACGCCTGAGGGAGCCGTGCCGCTCCCTGAGCGAGAGCTCAGCTCCGTGCTGGCTCTGCACCGAGCACTGGGGGCGCCCGCGGCGCCGGGTGGCCGGGAGCAGGCGTCGCCGTCTGCAGAGGAGATGAAAGGGCCTTTGTGGCGCGTTGTTGCTCTGGACAAACAGTGGACAATGTAACACACGGAGGAGGAGGCAGGCGCCTCCGCTGCTGGCAGCCCGTGACTGCGCCCGTCCAGGGCCGTCAGCGCCGGACTCGGCACCTGGGCAGAGGTGTCCTGGGCGTGCCCGCTTCTCGGAGGACGGGTCTGGGTCTCGGGCTGGTCCTGCCGGGCAGCTCTGAGGCGGCGCCCTCCCTGCCTTGTCCCCGCCCCGTCCCGGCCTGGTCTGCCTGTGGGGGCGTCAGTGGCAGCTGAGGGGGTGACGGGCCAGGCTGAGCTTCTGGGCTGAGCGGGGCCCACTATGCGCCCCGCTTGCGACGCGGTGGCCGAGGTGCTGGCCCGCGGCAAGCGCCGGCCGTGGCCCCCGGTGGACTCAGGCCAGTGGCACGCCTCGCCAGCCACCCAAGACTGAGAGGGCCCGCGGGGACCTTGTCCTTCATGCAGCAGGCGGGCAGCCTCAGCCACCATGGACCCTTCGATCCCCAGAGAAAACACAGGCGTTCTGTGTGCCCGTGGGGCAGGCGCCGGCGGCCCGGCCCATGCCCCGTGGGTGGCTGCCAGCAACGAAATAAGTTTCAGACGGCCTTTCAGGCACAGGCTTTTGGGTACCTTTTCTCCTTTCAAACGAGAAAAGTCCCCCACCGCCCGTCGTCCCCCTGTCCGCCCGCCCGCCGTCGGTGCCGAACCGGAAGGCCGGCTGGCGCGTCTCCGCAGGGGCAGCCCACTGTGGTGGGGGCTGCTGGTCGGCCTGGCAGACCGGGTGTTGGGAGCCTGCCTGGAGGGGCCAGGGAAGGCCGTTTCCTAAACCGTTTCCAGCGGAAGCCTTCGGGAGGAGACCCGTGCTGTTCTTGAGTCTGCCCTGCTGGGCTAGGGCGGCTGCCGGCTGCCCCAGCCGGGCCCCTTCCTGAGAGGCGTAAGCCACTTAAGCTCATTAGCATCTGGATGGCTCTGCGCCTGGAGGAAGCAGGGCCAGGGCGGCCGCTCTGCTCGGGACTGTGCCAGGCTAGTTCTAATCCCACTGTGCGAAGGCCGCCAGACTGATTTGTGACACAAGAGTCCAAAAGCCACTCTGGGGGCCTGACCGGCTTAGCTGGCCGTGCTCGGAATGTCAATGGCCGGTCGGGAGCCGCTCGCGGAGCCGCCCGGGCCTGCGGGGGCGCCGCCCTCCCCGGGACGCTGCTCGACGGCCCTCGGCTCCCCGGCCTCCGCGGGAAGCGTGCGCAGTGGGTGCTCGTCGTTGGGCCGCGGCGGTCTTTTGTAAAACAAGCGTTGCCTAACCCATTTTACAAGCAGCTCCATTGAGGCGCAGTTCACGTGCACGCCGCGACCGAGCCCGGCCTGGCCCCGGGCGCCCGCCTGCCCATCGCAGCCAGGGCCTGTCCCCTCCCGCCCACACGCGCGCACACAGGGCGTCGGCCCCTTCAGAGCCCTGCCCTGTCTGCGGCGCGTGTCCCGAGCGCCCCGTGCACCCCGCGTCCGTGCCCCTCAGGACCGCACGTGGGCGAGGGGCTCCGTGGTCCGTGCCCGTGCGTGTGCACACGGACGAGAAGACTTTTCTAAACAGCCCGGATATGATTTCATTTTTAGCCAACCAGGTGGTAGCCCGGGAGGGTGACAGCTCCCGTGCCTCCCTTTCCCCTCGGCTGCCCAGCTGCTGCCCCTCCCTCGGGGCTGCCCCGCCCCCCGTGTCCCTGTCTGGCCTTGTCCAGCCTCCCGGGCCCCTCCGAGGCCGATCTCACGGCCGTGTGCCCCCAGCTGCCGTGGCCACTTGTGACTTTGCCGTCCCCCATCCCTCCACTCAGGCTGTGCTCGGGAAAGCCTGCTCAGCCCTTCCTGGGCCAGAGCCCAGGAGCTGGGGGGTAGGGCGCGCCGGCGCTGTGGCCGGCAGCCCTGGCCCAGGACATGGGGCGGCACAGCCTGCCTGTGGCACCGCTGGTCGGCCGGGGGCCCCACAGCGTCCTGGGGGCCCTTGGCTGGGAGGTGTGACGTGGGCTTGGGCGGGACAGAGGCCGGGACGAGCTGCCCGCTCTGCGGTGCCATGGCCGCACAGGCGGGTGGGAAGCCCCACTCCTGGGACTGAGCTCCTCCGTGTCCCCCAGACACTCTGCACGAAGGCCACGATGCAGACAGTGCGCGCCGCCGACACCAACGAGGTCGTGAAGCTGATATTCCGCGAGTCGGACAACGACCGGAAGGTAAGAGCTGGTGGCTTCGGGCCAGCGACACGCGGTGCTGCCCCGGCTGGGGGCGCGGGGACGGCCCGAGCTGTGGGCGCTGCCCCTCCTGCGCTGACAGCCCCGCCCTGGCCAGGTGATGCTGCAGCTGGAGAAGAAACTGTTCGACTACTTCAACCAGGAGGTTTTCCGCGAGGACAACGGCACCGCGGTGAGTTCCGCGGTCGAATGCATGCCCTCCCCCCACCCGGCGCCTCCGTGGCCTCTGGGCCACCGGGCCACCGGGGCCACACTTCCGGGTGCCGTCGCAGCCCGGGCACGGCCCCGAACGCTCGGCCTGCCGTCACTCCCCGGCTGGGCCAGTGCAGCCGCGCTCCGGTCCGCCCCTCCCCGGGCTCCGCCAGCTGCCTCTCTGTCCTGTGGACGGGCGGCAGGCCCCCAGCCGTGGGCCTCGGAGCCGCCCCCAGGAGAGGTGGACGCAGGCATCGCGGCTCGGGGCCCACGGGCCTGCGCTTCATTCAGAGCGGGGAGAAACCACAGGTGCACGGGGACCGGGCAGCCTGCCACCACGCTTGCATGGGTGCGTGCTCGCACATGCATGGCTCGGACCTGCCAGCGCCCCCATCCTGCCACAAGGCCTGAGCGCAGGCCCACTGCTTGCCTGCGGGGAGGGGGCACTGCGGCCTGTTTCGTGCAGTGACCGTGCAGCTGGCACATGAGCGAGGGACCTGTGACCTTTGCATGTCTCCCTGGCAAAGAGGCCTTGCTGGGGCTGGTCCCGCGCAGGTGTGGCGGCAGCGCTGAGCCAGCACCTCCCAGACCCCTGCGACCGCGCACGCATGGGCCCCCGGGGCACCGGTGCTGGGGGGCCGGGTGTGCGGGCGGTGCCCTGTGGGCCCACTCCCATCCCAGCAGCCCCCGGGCGCCCTGGGCTCTTCCAGCCGAGCCGCACCGCCCTTTGCAGCCGCCTGCCCGCCCCCTCGGCCCTGCCCGCCCTCCCTGGGCGGTGCCGCTGGCCCCATCCCCAGGCCCCTGTCCCCCGGCCCTGCAGCCTGGCCGGTGCCACCAAGACCGCTGGCAGCCCTTGTGAGGACACCTTTGCCTCACAGCGCAGGGAGGTGCTTGGACGTCAGGCCGTGCCCCTCAGGGGTCCATCCCTGGGCCCCCACTTCCTGCTCAGCTCTGCGCTCTAGGTGCCCCGTCCCCCCGGGTCTCGAGTTCCCGGCTCTGGACAGCACCCCTGTACCCCCGTCTCGCATCTCCCTCGGGCCCCTCAAAGCCCCAGGCCCCGCGCCGAGCCTCCGATTCCCTCGGGCACGGGAGGGTTCCTTGGGTCTGCGTGTGACCAGTGGTCGGAGGAGGGCCGGTGGCTCTCCGACCTCCCAGCAGACTCTGCAGGGCCTGTGTCCCTCCTGCAGACGCCGCGGCAGCGCCTCAGCCCCACAGGCACCGCCCCCAGCTCCCCGCGTCCCCTTCTGGAAGTCACAGCAGGGTCGAGCACCTCTCTAGCCAGGCAGCTTCTGAATCCGCCCCCCTCGCCGGCCCCTTCAGCTCTCCCACCTGGCGCCTGGCCAGGGCCTTGCGGGGGGCACAGCCGGGACCTCTCGCGTCCCCGTAGGCCTGGCCTGCAGGCCTCAGCACTGCCCTCCCGCCCGGCGGCCTCCCTCCAGGGCCCCACCACACTGCGCTGCCCTGTCCGCGCCACAGCCTGCCGCCCGCAGACCCTGTCCCTCCGCGCCGGCTGGTGCGGCTCTCACCTCCTCGAGGGGCGCCGGGCCCTGGTGGGTGGGGCCCTGCATTCAGCACACGGACGCTTTCAGCTCAGCCACGCTCCGCCAGACAGGAGGCCCTTAGGGGCAGGGGCGGTGCCCAGCTGCTACCTGCGCTGCCAGGGCGCCGTCCGCGCCCAGCAGGGCCGGGGGCACTCGGGGTGGAGGTGAGGGCCTGGGCTGCAGGCAGGGCGGGGCAGGACCCGGTCGGATGTGCTGTTGGGGAGGTGCCACCCGGTCCCTGGGCAGCTGGGTGGCCGTCTGAGTTGGAGAAGGCCAGGCAGGGCTGGGCTTTGTGGCCCCGAGGCCCAGAGACAGCTCCCGGAGCCTGGGGCCCTGAAGCCACCGGGGGAGAAGAGAGTGGAGGTTCCCTGGGAGAACAGCGGGATCAGGGGTGTGGCCCTAGGACAGCTGGGGGCCCAGCACATGCTGGAAGGAACAAGGAGGCTGGTGCGGGGAGGCTCCGTCGGCCAAGGCAGAAGCTGGGCCTGCAGCGGGTGGCGCAGGGGGCAGGGGACGAGGCCGCGTGTGCACGCCGAGCCACGCTTAGGCATCCTCTCTCGGCGTCAGACCGGGACGCCGCGGTGCCGCTGGACGTAGCCAGTACTGTTGCTATCAGAAGTGACGAGAAATTGTTTTCTCAGATGGAGGAAACTTAGTATGAACACTCAGGGGAACTTCCAAATTTGATCCTAAGACGCAAACGTGCAGTGGAGCTGGGGTAGATTCCCACGCGGCCCCTAATGTCATGTCCAGAGCCTCGGGTGGCCGGGGACGGCCTGCGGGCCTGGCGCTCGCGGAGCTGAGCTGTGGTTTCCCCGAGAGCAGACCCTGCGGCCGCGCCTGTAGCTGCGGCGGCTCTGGGAGCGCGGAGGCCCACACGGGCATGCGCACTCCCCGCCCAGGCCACTCGGCACATCATGGGGTCGGCCTCACGTCAGTCACGCACAGGAAACGGGGTCACTTGGTCCCCCAGGGGAATAAGATAAATGGCGTGATGAACCACAGAGAGCCTCTCCGCTCTGCGGCGAGACGCACGGCGGCTCGGCCGCTGGGACAAACCACCGTCCGCAGGATGGATGTGCCCGCGCCGGACACAGCCCCAAAATCCATCGCATCCTTCATCAACCGCCGGTCTTGTACCCGCCTGACAGAAATTTAATTCAAGCTGGCTCCTGAAAATAATTATTGTATTTTAAGAGTAGTAATCATTGGCCAGGACATGATTGAATGTGTCCATGCCTATTGACTTTTTCTATGATTTATGGCTTTGTTTAGTCGATATTCCCATCGAAATTGTATAATTAATTACACATGTGCTGTCAGGCCGCAGGATGGAGCGCCCTGGCGAGGATTTGGAGAGATTAAATTTCGCTGGGCTGTCCCGGCTGGCCGGGGTTTCCACGCGGCCCGGCCTGCTGGACGGCAGTGTCTGCTGCGTGTTCAGCAGCTGCTGCAGCTCTGGGCGCATCGATTTTCCGGCTCTTGCCTTTATCAGCGCGGCGTCTCTGCAGCAACGGTGGAATCTGTGCGGCTGGGAGAGCCCCTGACAGATACGTATGACCGCCGGCTGCTTTATCATTGTCCACACACGCCCTGCGCTGTTTTTCACTCTGTAATCAAGAAGAATGTTTAAGATACAAGCGGAATTGGTTATCGTGTTTGTGAAAGATCTCAGAGATACAAATGATCATTTCCACAGGCACGCAGCGTAACTTCTGATCAGAAGCGCCTCACATCGGTGTCTGGTGCCAGCAGCCCAGCTCCTGGACCACCCTGCTGGGTGGGCACAGGCTGTGACAGTCCCCAGGCCCTGGCCCTTGGGCACCGTCTCCGGGCTGGCCCCCGGGGGAGGGCCCACCGGCTGTCGAAGCAGGGCCGCGGGCCACACACAACCCGGCGCTCGGGCCGCAGTTGGTACCGTGAAGGTCTGCGTCTCTTCACACGCACGTGGGATTAGCCGTCGCCTCCCCACACCGGGCAGCCCTGGAGGGCGAGGGGCCGCGCGGTGGGGTCCACGTCCCCGGGCAGCCCCTGGCCGAGCGGAGGCTGAGGGCGCCTGCGTGGGGTCGGAAGGGATGAGGGCGTCGGAGCAGCCCAGGCCGTGGGGGTGGCCGTGCTGCGGGGCGGGGCAGGCAGGCCCGCGGCGACGGAGCAGCTTGGTTCTGCTCCTGCTGGAGCAGCTGGGAGGTTCCGGCTCATTCCAACCCACGCGTTTATTTGCTGTGTTTTTTACTGAACACCTTTAACAAGTGGGAGAGAGGCGACACTGGAGTCGCTGCACCCTTGGACGCTGCCGCCCAGCCAGGACAGCGGGGCTGGTGGGCCGCGGGCATGTGCGGCAGCGCTGGGGACGGGACGCGCCCGCGCTCAGGGCCCGCCAGCTGCCGCTCCCGGAGTCTCCGCGTGCCCGCCGTGCAGCCGCGGGAGATGGGCGTGCCCGTGGACCGGGCCTCGGACACCCCTGTGTGCGCGCGCACCGCCTGGACGGGTCCACGCCCCACAGGCACGCCTGCCCTCGAAGGGGCGTTTCAGTCCCCAAGGGGCCCCTTGCCCCGAGCGCAGCGAGGGCCCAACTCAGGGACTTTCCAGAGTCCTCCTGGCCCCCTGAGGTGAAGCAAATGTTTCAGGGGAGCCCATCTGGGGCTCGCTCCCGGCCCTGCGCCCCACCCCGGGGGCCCCAGTCTCCTCAGTCCCTTGGCCTAGCCGTTGGACTTGGCTGTTGGGCAGCGTTGAGCTGGTGAGGTTCCCACCACGTGTCTCAGCGGCAGGTGTGGGCTCGCGTGTCTCCGGGGGGCCCCGGCCTCCACCCCTGGGCTCTGAGCCTCACCAGGCAGGGCTGGGGCTCCCTGCAGGGGTGGGGGCGTAAGACGGGAATCTGGCAGCTGTGCGGACAACAGTCCCCTCGGTGCACAAGGAGCACTGGGCCGCCCCACCCGAAGTGCGAGCGCCGCCAGCCCCTTCCCATGCGGGCTCCTCTCCGCTTCCCTCTCCCAGCCCGGGGGCCGGCGGGGCGCGTGGGCAGGGCGGCCGCGGTCTCAGGTAGCAGCCAGCACATGGGCGATCGCTGTGCACACGGCGCGGCCATCGCACGCTTCAGGGGTGACGGATGAGGCGGCTCTGAGGGAGCCCCTGCGTGAGGCCGCGCCCACCCGGCTGCGAGGAGACGTGACTAATGAACGCGCTCCAGGGGCCCGCGATGTGGCCCCTCGCAGCCCGGCATGGCCGGAGGCTGCGCGGCGCCCCTTCCCTTGGGTGCAGTGCGCTCCGTGGAGTGTGCGAACTTTGGGCCGTTGCCTTAGCTCCCTGAGTGAGGTGGACGCTGCTTCCCTCTGGCTTGGCCCGAGTAGAGCAGGAGGGGCGGCCCCTTCTGGGGGCAGAGCCGGCCCTGCCCCTGCACCGTGGGGCGTCCGCACAGCAAGGCTCTGGCTCGGCCCCGGCTCGCAGGTTGCAGTGCCCGCAGCGCCCCCGGGCCCCTGGGACACGACGGGGCGGGTCTCATGGTCGGGTCCGCCTCTCGGCTGCGGAGCCTGCTCCGGGGAGCTGCAGGGCCCCCACTCTGACCACCGTGTCCCCGGGACCTCACGGTGCCCCAACAGGCCCAGCAGTGACTTCATTTTCTCTGTTTCTTTCTTCAGCTCCTCGAATTTGACAAAGAATTGTCTGTCTTTAAGGACAGACTGTATGAACTGGACATCTCGTTCCCTCCCAGGTAAGGAGCCCCCACCTCCTGGAGGGGCAGGTAACTGCCCCCCTCTGGGGCAGCCAGCGCCCCCGCGCACGCCAGCCCTGGCCCTCCTTGCGGTCCGCAGCAGCGGCCCGCCAAGAGCGGCGCGGGTGCTTTCTTTACAAAAGATGTTCTCCCAGCAGCGCATGGCCTCGGGCCGTGCGCCCTGGAGCCGGCGGAGGCGGCCAGTGCTGCGGGCTCTCCTGGCAGCGTCTGCATGGGTTTGGCCACGCCCGCCGGCCTCCAGTGTGTTCACTCTGATGCTTCAGAGTCCAGGCGTCTGCAGCATCCGCCACCTGTTCATTCCCTCTGACCGGCTGCACTCCCAGGGCCTCCCTGGGGCCGCAGCTCGACAGAGAGGAGGGACAGGCAGGGAGCCACCAGGCCCTGGGCCTGTGCCCCTCTGACCTCAGGGTGCCGGCTCTGGCTAGGAGGGCGGGGGCTCTGAGCCCACGGTCAGCACCCAGACCAGTGGTGTGGGTGTCAGGGAGCCCGAGAAGCAGGGACTGGGGGCCCCACTCAGCCCTCGGGCCGCCGGGCTGGTGCGCAGGCCAGGCCGAGTCTCAGAGGCGCCCACGTGTGAGCGGGTCAGCGGGCACCCAGCAGGCCGCCCAGCTCGGGGGCGGCGTTCACGGGGCAGCCAGTGTGCACTGAGCCCTTCGGTGCGTTCGGAATCTGAAGACAGTGTTCCTGGGGGTTCGCCCAGACCGCCCTGTCCGGGCACCCTGAGTGTCCCTTCTTGTTGAACAGACTCGGGGACCCCTTCCCCGGGATTTTGCTGAGCAGGCGGAGGACAAGGGAGGCCTGGGAGCCCCCGCGGGCCGGGGAGCAGCCTTGCTGGATACCTGCGTCCACGCTGGCCTCTGCCTCTCAGGTTCCTCCCCAACCCCGCGGCCTGAAGGACCCTGCAGAGGGATGGAAGTGTGGCAGGTCCCGAGCGGGGCGCGGGGCGCGGGGCTGGTGGACCAGGGCCCCCCGGGAAGGCAGCCGTGCTCGGCGGCCCCTGAGGTTGCCCCTGGCCACCCGGGGTCTTTTCTGCCCCGGGAACACAGAAGGGGTTGCTTCGGGGCTTCCTGGGTGTTGCTCTCTGTGCGTCCCTGCCGAGCTCCAGGGACCTGCCTGCTCTCAGCGAGGTCCCAGGACGGACCTGCCGAGCAGGATCTCCACAGGCCTCTCGGGTCCTGTGGTAGGAGAATGGTCCCCAGAGGTGTCCCCACCCTCTTCCCGGCACCTGTGAAGGCCCCCCGCGTGGTGACAAGAGGGACTTGGCCACATACAAGTGCCTTAGAGCAGGGCGCACCCCACCCTCGGGCGAGTTTCAGGGCAGGGGTGGCCGGCAGGGCGGCCTGACCAGCTGACTCAGTTTTCAGGCGGTTTCCCTGCCGTTTGGCAGTCACGTGTGAAGGCTGTGGAGTAGACGCAGGAAGAAGGAAAGGGGGGGCACCGCCCGCTCGCCCCCTCGCGCCGGCGGCTCTCGAGCCGGGGGCCCGGCTCCCAGGAAGCACTGCAGTCGGCCTCCCAGCCCGGCCAGAGCAGGCGCTCGGGCCCCCCGAGGTCCTGAGGCCAGTGCCCCCACAGCCCCCGCAGCCTGGCCATGCCTCTCCCACAGCCTGGTCACACCTGAAGTCCTGCCTCCCTCCCTCCGGTCCTATTGTATTTCTTTAATCACGCCTGACCCCCAGACAGAGCTGCGTCCCCGCGGATGCCACGGTGGCGGGGGGGCGGGGGGCGCGCAGGGCTGCTCCAAGCAGGCAGGGCGAGGGCGGCAGCTGGGGGGCCAGTGCCTCCCTGGGCGTGTCCTCTGCCTCTGCCGCGAGATACAGGGTCCGGGGGGAGGCCAGTGAGTGTGTGCAGAAGGTGCACACAGACAGGCGTGTGCCCCGCGTGGGCGTGCCTGCTGTGTGAGGGGGTGCAAAGGGCTGTGCGCGTGGGTGGGCTCGTGTGTGAGCTATGCAGCTGCATGTGCGCCCGTGTGCACGTGGTGGGTGTACACGCATAGGTCCCGCGTGTGCAGGATGTGTGCGTGTGCAGTCCATGGGCTTGCATGTGTGTGTGCAGTATCCATGCACGCAGAGTTGGTACACGTGAGCATGGTTGGATATGTCCACGTGTAGGTGTGTGGGTGTACACGGGCATGTCTTGGGGGAGTGTGTACACAGGGGCCTGTGTACGTACTCCCACGTGCTCCCCGGGGGCCCCCCAGAACCTCCTTCCCTGATGCCAAGGAGCTCAGAATCCCAAGAAGGGCCCCACAACAGGACAGCACCCCTTCCTGATGCTACTGGGCTGTGTCCGCGACAGGGGCTGACAGGGCCCCCTCGGGCCGCGGCCTCTGGTGCCCGACCGGGCTTCGTCCCCTGTGTCTGTTGGAGGTGACGGCCGGCCACCTGTCACTGCGACCGGGCTCACTTCCAACACGGCCGAGTGGCCGTGCCGGTCCTTGGGCAGCGAGGGGGCCGGCACCCCTGCTTACTAGGGAGAAGAACCGCGCCCCCCGCGCGGCTGGTGTTGGCTTGGGGCACGGATGCCCTGTGGCCCCCAGGCCCCTTACGCTGTCACAGTCATGGGGCCTCCCAGAGCTCCGCCCCGCGGCTCGCACTGCTGGCAGTTACCGCAACTTTTAAATATTTATTCACGTACTGTTAAGTGATGATGATAAACCATTGCATGTTAACATAACATTTTTATGAAAAAGAAAAAAAACTATTTTCTTACCAAAAAATAACTTGCAGGAGAATGGGACAGTTTCACATTTAAGAGAATCTTCTCAGAGTTCAGCCTAACCCAGGACAGCAGGGGCCTCGGCCCCCCCGGCCCCCCCGGCGGCCTGGGAGGCGGGTGTCCCGCAGGAGGGCGAGGCCGCGGCCTCAGGCCGCCTCTTCCCCCCCACCGCACCCCAAGGACCACGTGCGTGTCCGCGGCCTGAGGGCCCCGGCGGGGCTGCCGGTGCAGCTCGCCCAGGGCAGGGCCTGCGTGCCGGCCTCCCGGCCCGGACTCTCCTGCGCGGACGGGACGTTGCTGCGCTCAGTGGTTTCCGTGTGGTCGTGCCTCTGCTCAGACATTTTTCTTTCATTATATTCTTGTTTTGGGGGAACTTTTTACACCAGGCCTCGGAGGCCCCCGGGGGTGCTGGCGGGAAGATCCCTGTGACCCGCGCACGCCCCCACCTTGTCTGCGCCGGACCTGGCCTCCGTGCGGGCGCCCGCTGCCGCTGTGCAGGCTCTGGCTGGGGGCGGCTGCGCCCTCGCCCGCCCGAGCAGCGCGGCCAAGCCCCATCCCTTGCGCTCGTGGTGGGGCTGGTTCCCGAGCCCCCCGCACCGCTTCCTGCTGAGTCCGGGCGACCCTGCCGATTCCGGCAGACTCGGCCTGGCCAGGGCAGCGGGGCGCCCTGCCCGCTCACAAGGGAGCCTGGGCCTTGTGGGCAGGGCTGGTCTCCCAGCAAAGGGGCCACGGCCCACATCCCGAGGGGTGGGGCGGTGGGGGTGGTGGGCCTCGAGGACAGGTGGGGGATTGTCAGCTTTATCACGAGGCCATTCGTGATGGCCACTTCCCCTGGCTGCCCCACGGCCCGCCCCGCATGGGGTTTGCTCTCAGATAAGCCTGGGGGCACTGCAGGCGCCGCGTCACTTGGTGTCGCCCCCGGCCTGCCGCTGGGCCGCCCGGGGCGGGGGTAGGCCGTGGGGGGCGGGAGGCGGGGGCGGGCCCCGCACGGCGCACCTGAGGGCCTTCGCCGCCAGCGCCGCATGGCAGCCGGCTTCGGTGCCCTGCTCACAACGGCGATGCCTGGGTTCACCCTGCGCTGGGACCTGGGGTGCGTCCCCGGGGGTGGGGTTGCGGTGGGGCCGCAGACGGGACCCGACCATGGGCACATTGTGGGCGCGGAGGCTCCAGCCGTGGAGACCGCTGGACAGAGACGCAGCTGCGGGAGCAGGCGGACGTCACTCTGCCTCCGTCCCCGCCGCGTCTCCCGGGGCGCTGGGCGGCCGGCTCCTCCGGCTCTGGCGCACACCTGCCCGTCGGGGCGTGGCTGGGGCCAGGGAGCCACGCGGCCACATGCCCCTCACAGCGCCCGGCGCGGCGTCTGGGGGCAGCAGGAAGCGCCAGGCTCACAACACCGGCACAGAGGCCACCGGACGGCGCTGGGCTGCCGGGGGCAGGCATGGCAGGCCGAGGGTGGCGGCGGAGCGTCGCCGAAATGACCTGGTGCTGCAGATCCCCTGGGCAATCTTGTCTGGCAGCCGCTTGTGGCAGAGGCCCCCCTGCTCCTCACAGCCGGCAGGACCTTCTGACCCTCGCCCCTGACCTTTGCCCCCCGTGGTAGGTGTTGCTCGGTGACTTAGGGCGCTGTTCTTTGGAAAGGGGAAGGCCTGTGTGGGTCCCACTGCAGGTGCCCGGATCGGATGGCGTGTCCCAGGCAGGGCTGGGCCCAGGCGGCTTAGACCGAGGAGCCCGGGGTCGGGCGCGCGCCCGGCTGGCCCTGAAGGGACAGGCGCGCGGGGCCCAAAGGAGCGGCGCGTGGACTGGACGGCGCGCCCCTTTGACCGCGTCTGCTGCTTCAGGGCTCCGACCGCGTGAAGTGGGGACCCCTTGCCCAGGCCGGGGCCACAGCCAGGCTCTGGTGGGGGCCTGCGGGGCTGGAACCGGGGGGACCGCCGAGGACGGGCCCGACCGCCCGTGAGGTGCTCGAGGCCCAGGGCCCCCAGCAGAACCGGCCCAGGGGCCAGAAGCAGCCTCTTCCTGAGACAGGACAGTCTTAACCGGGTGGGTGCCTTCCACAGCAAATGCCATGGATACTTCAGCGTTGGCCTACAAAGGCCCTTTGGACTCTTTTGAGGAGAAGTTTTCGTCTTTATTGGAGCCCACGGCCCAGCGGGGACACGCAGCATGGCCGCCCCCCAGGGCCAGGGCCTTCGTTACCACAGCAGCAGCGCCCCGTCCGCGTGTCCGCCCGGGCGGGGCCCGCAGCTTCACATGCACCAGGGGGGCCCCCGAGCCCGGAGCCAGAGGCAGGGCTGCTCCGGTGCCACCCAGAAACAGGAGGGAGCGCCCACCGTGGGGGGACGCGAGGGGCCTTGGACAGGCATTCGCAGGACACTGTGGACAGGCGGCCAGTGTGCGGGACGGGGGGACCGTGCCGGCTGGTGGCCGCAGGCCCAGCCTGGCGGCGGGTAGCACCCCCTCTTGCTTCCCACCCCCCCGAACCAGAGAAGATGTGAATGAAAGTAAACATGTTCTGCTGGCGCTGCTGCTGGTCAGTGCGCTGCGGAGCCTCCACGCCTGAGTGGCGCCGGCATGGCCAGGGCAGGGGCGGTGTCCACTGCAGCGGTGACCCAGGCCGCGGCCTGGGCACCCAGACGCCTCCCGAGGGGAGGACTGAGGTGGGAGCAGGCTGTGGGGGCCCGGGCGTGCAGCCGAGCCGGGCCCCCGCCGGCCCCAGGCCCCCGCTGGCTCGCCCCTTGGCCGGGCACAGGACGTCCCGAGCCTGCCTTTTCCCAGGTGGGTTTTATTGTACTTTCAACCACACCCAAAAATAAAGCAAAGTTTAATAGAGACTCATTTCTTTAAAGGGACTGTGAGTTTGACTTTATATTCTGGAAACTGCTATCTACGCATTCTTCCTGAGGGTGCCGGCTGTCCCGGGGGACCCGGCGCGAGCCCCCACGGCCGTCTGCGGGACGCGGAGGCGGCCGGAACTGCGTGCCCACCGCCTGTGTCTTGCCTCCCCAGCTACCCCTACAGCGAGGACGCCAGCCAAGGCCGGCAGTACATGAACACCCGGTGCCCTGCCTGGTGTGACCGCGTGCTCATGTCCCCGTCCGCCAAGGAGCTGATTCTGAGGGTGAGTCATGGGCGCGCTCTTGCCCATCCAGGGGGAGACCCTGGGTCCGCGGGGAGCCGGGCACCTGGGCCTGCGGGGTCTGAGGTTGGGAAGCTCTCGGGTGTGGAGCCTCTCGATTTTCTAGGGCCTTTCGGTTCCCACATTTTAACACAAAAGGAATGTTTTCAAAAGAATCAATGTCTGAGTTGGTTTTGTCAACCCCATTAATATAACAAAAAAAAAATACAAGAACGACCAGCACCAGTTCACACAGGGCAGCGGCCTGGCGCTTGGTGTGCCGTGGGCAGTGGTCAGGAGGGGCAGGGACGTGGTGACCAGCAGCCCAACCGCAGCCCCGTCTGCCACAGGCTCCCGTCCACGCCCCCAAGGGCCCCGGGCTGCACCAGGGTCCTCTCTGTGCCCCTAGGCCGGACCCGGGGCCTCGCTCTCGGGGCAAGAGGGGCTGTAGGCAGGAGGGCGGAGCCCCCACGTGCTGCCCTGAGTGCACAGCCCAGGCCACGCCCCGCTGTCCACAGGCCCCTTGCCCCTGCGGGCTCACTCGGCCAGGGGCAGCACGCGTGGGCCTGGCAGCCCTCCCCAACCTGTGCACAGGGCCTGCTCGGCCCACGCCCGCCAGCTCTGAGCACACGGGGCCAGCCAGGCACAGGCTGCCAGCCCGGGCAGGTGCCTCCAGGGACGGAACAGGGGCCACCTACCTGGGAAAACAGCAAAACCCGGGAGAAGGGCGTGCATGCTAAGAGCGCAGTGCCTCGTCCCACGCCTGCGGCGGGGTGGGCGCTCAGCAGGAGGCGGCGTTTGAGGCCGTTTTTCTGGTTGGGGGCGGGGATGAGATTCGATGCTGCAGTCATGGGGGGGACCGAGCTGGGACAGGCAGGGGTCCCCGCAGGCCCTCCCCTGGGGGATGCTGGGCGGCGGGCGTCACAGGCCCCAGACGCGCCAGGCAGCCTCCTCGGGCTCAGCCGTCTCACCACGCTCGGTTTCCTGCTGTCACGTTCTGTCGACTTCCTGCCTGAAACGCCGGCAGCGGCGGGGCAGGGCTGCCGGCGGGCGGTGGTGGCCGCCCCGCGAGGCGTGCCGCTCCCGCGGTCGTCTGTCCGTGTGCCTCAGGATCGTGCAGCCGGAAACCCGCAGGCTCTGCGCTCACCCTCGCCTCCCCACGGCGCGCCCGGCCGCAGCTTCCCCCTGCACTGGAGGTGATTCGGCTTCAGCCCTGCAGTCTCGGCGCTTCCGCTGTGGACGGGAAGTCCTGGCCCGGTCGGAGCTGACCGATGGCTGGGAACAAGCCCTTCAGCCTCACACCCAAAATAAGGTGTCTGCCAGGCACGGCGGGCACCGCGGTGGGTGACAGCGAATGTCACGCCTCAGCTCGGGGCGCTGAGCCACCTTGCCTTCGGGGCCCGGGCTGCGGCGTCCGCTGGGAGCTCCCCCGTGGGGCCTGCGGCGTGGGGGACGTGCTGGCTCATGGGGCCGCGGCCGTTCCTCCTCCCACTCTGGGGCCTCTGTTTGCTTTTCCAGTCGGAGAGCGAGGAGAAGGTCGTCACCTACGACCACATCGGGCCCAATGTCTGCATGGGAGACCACAAGGTGACGTGGCCGGGCTGGGTCCGAGGGTGGGCGGCCACCTCCCTGCCCCTCCCTGTCCGCCCCGCGAGCCGGCCGCGCAGGACAGGCCGCGCTGCTTTTAATTTTAATGAAATGCCAGGTGGGAGGGTGGGAGGTACGTGGGTAGGTCAGAAGGCAGCAATGACTAGTCCAGTAGAACAGAATGCACAGTTTTACCATTTGAATAAAAGTGCCTGTCCCCGCAGGTGGTTTGAGGCCACCTCTCTAGTGTGCGCTGGAGGTGTTTTATTGTCCTGAGGCCCAGACGGTGGGGGGAGGGGGTTAGGGGGTGCGGGTCCCAGGTCCACGCCGCGGGGACTCGTCTGCACAGTACTCAGCCCCTACGCCTGAGCCAGGCGTCCTCGCCGAGGGTCCTGCCGGCGACGGGCGGTGCCCCGGGCCAGCTGGAGGCTTGTGGGGCCGAGCCCGCAGGCGTCGCCCCCAGACGCAGCCCCGCGCTGGCCAGGCGGCGGCTCTGTCCCTCCCCTGGTCCCTGGGCACAGCCAGGGTCTCTAACCCGTCTCCCTGTTAGCTCTCCTCTGGGAAGAACTGTCTGCAGAGCAGGGGGCCCTTTGCCTGGAGGCCCCGGGCCGGCTGGGCTCCCTTTCCCTTTCCAGTCGGCGGGGCCCTGTGGTGGCAGGGGAGCGCGGCCTTGGCCTTCGGGTCCGGCTCCCGGGCCCAGGCGCCCCGAGGGCAGGGGCGAGGCCGGCGGCCGCTGACGCCTCCTCTTGTCCCGCTGCAGCCCGTGTTCCTGGCCTTCCGCGTGGCGCCCGGGGCAGGTAAAGCTCACGCACACGTGCACAAGTGTTGTGTCGTGCAGTGACGTGTGGTAAATATGGCTCCTTCCCTTGAGTTCACCTTTTCTGAGCTTTTCCCAGTGTGTCGGTCCCTTTAACCGACCGCTGACTCCGTGGCAGGGCGGCGATGCCAGCGGCAGGAGCGGACGCCCCGCGAGCCCTGCCTGTAGCGCGGAGCAGAGGACGCCGCCCCCGTCGGAGCCCACGCTCAGCCGCCGCATGGAGCATCGCGCCGAGCCCACCGCCTGCCGCCGGCCCGCACTTCGCTTCCGCCCCCGGCCGTCCCGGGGGCCCACATACCTCACTGTCTTGTCTGTTCATGTGACATTAAGTAGAAATATTGGGTTTTTTAATAAGTCACAGTCTGGTTGCCAAAACTCTAATAGACAGCGGAGATTCTGTATTTTAGACTTCACGGTTTTCAGTTTGCGATCGTCGTCCGCGTGGGGACCCACGGGTGGCAGCTCCCCGCGCGTCCATGGTTCTGAATCACACTGCAGCTGCTTCCCGGTTTTATATATAAATATATATAAATGTATACTTTTTAAAGTAATTTATAAATCTTACCAAACTTACGCTAAATGTACTTCCCGGTATGAATGCGCGAGTGCCGCACCCGCGAGCGAGCCGGCATCTGGGAGCGCGGTCCCGTGAGCGTCGCGCGCACCCTCCAGGGCCACGGGGGCGCCCGCCTGGCCCCGCTGGCAGCCGGGGCTCCGCGGCCTCTTCTGTGTCAGATTCAGACCCGAATGTGAAGTTTATCGCCGGCTTGGGTGCACCTTTTAAGAATTTTGTAAACCGTTTTGTCTGTCTTTTGTTACTGTTCTATGGTGCCAAGTATTATACATAAAACAATAATGTCGTGGGGGGAATAAAGATAGCCTAGTCTGCTTCCAGTAGAACCTGCTTTTAACACGAACTGTATATAGAAACGTGAAGAGAACAGAGCTGTGCAGGGCTCCGCGGCCAACGCCCGGCAGACAGCCCGGCCGCCCTGGCTCCCCCGCCCTCGGCGGCCGCGCCGCGGGGAAGGGCGCCCGCAGACGCCTCTGCTCCAGAACACTACAAGGCCCGGGCGGGGCCGCGGGCAGATGCCCGCGTGTAGGTCAGTCACTACGGCCTGTCCGAGTCCTGGACAGCGGGGTGGGGCTGCGGCCCCGGCGCTGTCCACGGCCGAGCGGCACTTCTGGCCCCCAGGGTTTCGGCGGCTGGTCGCTGCGGAGGCCTTTAAAGAGGGTCACTCGGGTCCCTAAGCAATAAAATTGATCCTGGTGAACACAGTCCTGCCTGGCTTTGTTTCTCTTCCTTCCTGCGCGCACCCCCTTTGAAATGCTAAGCGGCGGGGCTGTGCTCCCGCCTGCTCCCCTCCTTGGGACCTGGAGCCCCCGCTCCCCCAGCCGCCTCGCAGGGGCCGCCCTGGGTGTGGGGAGCGGAGAGGATCTTCGGCGGAAAGCCCGCTGGGAAGCGGTGGGCCCCCCTGGCGTTTTTAATGAGATTATGTAAATACGGCGATCCTCCTACCCAGGACGGGAAACTCCTTTGCTCTTGAGCTAGGAGAATGCTCCACTTGCAGAAATAAAATAAATCTTCACATTGATCCCTTAAAAGAAAACAAAACCAGCCGCTAGTGCCTCAGAAACTCCTGGGTCTTCCCTTGGTGGTAGAGCCAGGCGGCGGCAGACAGACAAGAGCTTCAGCTGCTCCCTCCTCTTCAGCACCGAGCGAAGTCGCTGAGCCCCGTCTCCACGCACGGCTGGTTCTTAGGACTAACGCTCGGCACCTGTGCCTGTCGGGACGCAGCACCACGGGCCCGGGCGCCGAGTCTAGCCGCCGGCGGGCTGTGGGTAACGGGGTGGGACCGGGCCCAGCACTCGGGCGCGGGGGAGCCCGCGGCGGGGAGGGCGTCCCGGCCCCGCGGACGCGCTTGGGCAGAGCTCGGGCGGCTCCCCGCGCGGGAGGCAGGCAGCTGCGGGAAGTCTGCCGGCGGGGCTTCTCCTTGGTCCCAGGTCGGGTTAAATGGCGCTTTCTCTGTCGGGAGCTGAAGGGCCGGTGCCGAGGAATTTAAAACCCCTCTTCTCTCGCCCGTAGTGCGCTCAGGGCGCACATGCAGATACCACACAACAGGGCGACGGCGCTTTCAGCCGCGAACCCAGCTGGACGCGCCCGCCGCAGCCGGGCGGGAGGGAGCGGGCCGGGCCCTCGGCCACGTTTCCGTCCCCCGACCCTTGCCTGCCTGCGCTGGCGGGCCGCCCCCGCCGCCCCCCCCCCCCGTCTCACCTGCCGGCGCCGTGCGCCCCACTCCGCCCGGCTCCTCGGGGCTCCTCCTGTGCCGCCCGGCGGCTCCGTCCCGCCGAGGGTCTGCGGGGCCGGGGCCGCCCGCACACACTGCGCCTCCGCTGGCCCCCAGCTCCCACCGCCGGATCGGCCGCAGCCTCCGCTCTGGGGCGCGGACTGGTTCCGCCGGCAGGACCCGCGCAGGACCCTGGCGGCCCGGAGTGGGGACGGGAAGGGAGAGACACGCGGTGCGGCTGGGAGCCGCGGCGCCGACGGGACGTGTTAAATAATTTATTGATGATACAAAGTGATTCCGCCGAGCCCAAGCCGGCCGCTCTATAACTTATTCTGTAAAAATATATGTACACCTCCGGCCGGGGGGCGCTGGCTGCGCCCCACGCTGGCCCTCCGGCCTCGCGCGGCCTCACAAGGCGTCCCCCGCGCCGCCGCCGCAGGGGCTGACCAGCGCCAAGTTCGAGGGCTTGTGCTTCTTGAGCAGCCGCGTGATCTTCTCGTCGTCCGAGTTGGGGTCCAGGGGCCGGTTGTACTCGTCGTCGTCCTCCGCGTCCGACGCCCCCACCTTCAGCCTCTCGGCGTCCGAGTCCTGCTTCTTCTTGGCCGACGCCATCTCCGCCGCGTGCCGCTTGCGCCACTTGGTTCGGCGATTCTGGAACCAGACCTGCGGGCGCAGGAGGACGTCAGGCGGCGCCCCCCGGGGGCCCCCGCCCGCTGTCGGCCCCCCGGCCCCCCGCCCCAGCCGCACGGCAGCGGCGCCTCTGGGGCTGCGCCAAGGCCGGCGGCCGCACGCGGGCCGTTCGCAGGACGCGGGCGGGAGGGCCTCCCGGGTGCCGCGGGACCCGCGAGGGGCCGCCCGGCCGCGCGCCCTCACCTTGACCTGGCTCTCGGTCATGCCCAGGGAGTAGGCGAGGCGCGCGCGCTCCGGGCCCGCCAGGTACTTGGTCTGCTCGAAGGTCTTCTCCAGCGCGAAGATCTGCTGGCCCGAGAAGGTCGGCCGCGAGTGCTTCTTCTTGCCGTCCTTGTCCAGGACCCCGCCGGCCTGGGCTGCACAGGAGAGCGGGTGAGCGCGGCCGCCGCCCCCGCCCCGCGCCCCGCGCCCCGCGCCGACTCCCGCGCGCGCCACTCACCCGGGCCGGCCAGCCGCGGGTCCCTCCAGGGCGAGCCCTGCACCACGCCGGGCCAGAAGATGGGCGCGCGCCCGGGCAGCTCGGCCAGCGGCTTGGGGTAGCCGCGCGCCACGGCGGCTGCGGGCCCGAAGTAGACGCCGGCTGACGAGGCGAGCCCGTTGAGACGGGGCAGGCCGCCCAGGAGGCCGCCGCCCGCCGCGCCCACGGGCCGCCCCAGGATGTCGCTGATGCCGTGCGGGGTGCCGAGCGGCAGCTGCGCGCCCAGGCCGCCCAGCGCGGGCGCCTTGAAGCCGGCCGGGCCCTGCAGCGCGTACGGGAACAGCGACGTCTTCATCTCGGCCATGTTGTGCAGCGCGGCCAGCGGCGCGCTGCTCAGCACGAACGCGCCCGGGCGGTTAGCGTCCATGGGCGCCGCCGCCGCCGGCCCGGGCGCCCATCCGGCCCGGGAAGTTCGCGCGCGGCCCGGGCGGGCGCCGCTGCACGGAGCGCGGGGCGCGGAGGGGCGCCGACGGCCCCGGGGGGCGGGCGCGGGACGCGGGCCGGGCCGGGGTCGGCAGGGGACGGCGGGCACGGGCGGCGGCTCCGGGACCGGTCGGAGCGGCGCCGCGCGGGCCGGAGGCGCTGATAACCGCGGGGCCCCGGCGCGGCGCGCGCGCTGATTGGCTGCGGGCGCCCGCGGCCCGGCCATTGGCCAGCGCCCCGCCCGCCGCGCGCCCCCGCCGGCCGCGCACTCCATGAAGGGCCCATTAGCGCCGCAGGTGCCTTCCGGGCTGTAAATTTGCCCGATTTATCTCTCCCGGGACGAAATAAATCCCGTTGGATGGGAGTTTAGTTAGGCAAAGGTTTTAATGGGAAATCAGGAAAAAATACGAGAGCATATTTTATCGCCCGAAAGGATGCAGATTTGAGGGCCCGCCCGGCAGCTCCCCTGCGCCCCATTAGGTGCGGCGCCCCCGGAGCGCATGTGCCGACGGGGAGCTCGGCCAGCGCCGCGTCCCGAGGCTCCGGGCACCCCGCGCAAGGCGGGGAGGACGGCGACCATCTCCGGGGACCCTCCCGGGGGTCGAACGGGCGGCGGAGGAAACCGCGCTCAGGCCGCGAGGGCCGAGTGGCCAGGCTGGGCCCTCGTGGAGCTGCTGTGCCGTCGCTGTCGCACAGCCGGCGGTGGCGGCGAGGCCGGTCGGGGGCCACGTTCGCAGCCGGCAGCTTCCCGCCCTCAGGACCGTCCTCCGTCGCCCCGAGCGCGGACACGGCCCGGCCTCCCGACCGGGCGCTTCGGGTCTGAGCTGCAGCTCTGTTCCCCGTAGGCAACCTGAGAGCCCCGACCTCCACCCGGGCCCCGCGACCGAGCCGCGGGCCGTCCCCTCGCGCGGGCGCAGCTTGAGCCGGGGGCGGGGGCCACGCAGCCTCAGGACCCTGAGGCCCACGTTGTACGCGCCGCGCCCAGGGCCTCCCCGTGGGTTCGTCCGAAGCGCAGCGCTCAAGTCGCGGCCTTTAGACAGGCGGGTGGGACCCACGGGGTCCTCTGGGCACAAAGGCCGCCTCCCAGCAGCCGCCGGGGGCTCAGGCGAGACGACGGGGAGCTCCGAGCGCCGGCGGAGAGGCGCAGAGGAAATAAACGCAGGGATTCGGCGTTTCCGTTCTTTCGGGTGGTGGCACGTGTTAGCGAGCGGAGGGTGTTAATACTGTCCTCTGCCCTGAGAAGCTCCGACCCGAACGTCCGCGACCCAACAGCCGTTTGGCGGCGGCGGGAGGGGCTGCACCGGCCGGCCTCCGGGGCCTCCGGCGGTCGGCCGCAACGACTGCCCCGGTGCCCGCCGGCCTCGCGGGTCTCGGTGGCGCACACGAAGCCGACCTTCGCGGCTCTGCGCGAGGACCCAGCGTCCGCTCGCACCGCCACCCTCCGGGGCCGTATTCGTTCTGTTCAGTTAGTGGAGGAGCCTGAGCCCCTACGACGGACCGCGGCTCAGGGAGCCGCTGGCCGTGTGCGGGGCAGGCGCCGGACGCTCGCACCTGCCTCGCTTGCGCACACGGGGACGGAAGACTCTCTCCCGGCCTCCTCAGCCGGCGCCGCAGTCGCGGGACCCGGGCGGCGCTGCCCCGCGAACGGTCGGCCCCCGCGGAGCCAGGCCCGCGACACCGGGAGCGCCGTTCCCGGGACTCCCGCTCTGCGAGCGGCACGCGGTCCGCGCGGCCCCGAGACCCGCCCCGGCCTCGCTCGCACCCCACTTTCTCGGAGGAAACGACAGCGGGTGTGCGCCCTCAGACGCGGCCGCAGGGAGGACCCTCCCCGCCGTGTCCGGGCCCCTCTGGGCTCCCTGGAGGCAGCGCCCAGGGTGGGCAGGTTCGGCTCCGGCGAGGTCCCGACCGGAGGGCTCGGGGGCGGGGGCGGGGCCGGGGGGGGGCGGGGGTTGGACCCCTCCTTGGCGCCACCCAGCCCACCCAGGGTCGCCGCGGCCTGAGGGGCGCGCCTGGGCGGGACGACAGATCGGCCACCCTCCCGCAGGGTCCCTGCGACCCCGGCTCTAGGCAGGAAGGACGCCCAACTCCGGGCGCCGCGCTTGGCTTCTTCACTCCTCAGCGGGAGCCTCCCGGCCCTTTTTTCCCCCGCGGAGGAAGGAGCCGGCGACGCGCTGCCCTGTGCCCCGGCGCCCTCGGCCCGTCTGCGTAGCGGGGCTCTCCCTGGCTGCGGCAGGAACGCTTAGGGTCGCGAGTGGGTCCCCATCGGTCGCGGCGTGCGTGGCCCTCTGCCGGGGAGTTTGTGCCAGGGGTGCGGGGTGGGGGGTCGGGGTGCGTTTTTGGAGGAACTGGGTGAGTGGGGGCGCGGGGAGTGCGGCCTGAGGGCGCTCTCTTCTCCACGCTCTTCTGGCCGTGGGCGCCTTGGCGCACGCCCCCGGCGCCCTGTCCTGCCCTGCACGTGGGGTGCCCGAGCCCGCGCCCCAGACCCTGCCTCGCACCCCCGGGTGCGCTGCCCAGGGCACCCGCTCCACGGCCCGACCCGGATACAAAGGCTTGTGGGCTCGTCTCCCCGGCGGGCCGCCGCCTCGGGCCCTTCGGTGCTCGCCCCCACCCCCGCCGCTGCCCCCGCTCCCCGGGCTCCCAGCGCACCCTCCTTCCTGCGCCCCAGGCGCCGCCCCTCCTTCTGGGGAGGTCCAGGGGCCGCCGGCGGGAAGGCGCGCCTCCGGGTTCGCACTGCCGGGGGCGGGGCTCCTCCGAGCGGCCAGAGGTTCGAGAATGCCCCCTCCTGGTCTTGGCGCAAACGTCCCGCCAACAACCGTTCGGAAAAGGAGCGCGCGCTACTTGGCAGGAGCCTTATCCAAGCAACGTTCATTCCCCGGGCACCTGCTCGGTGCCGGGCGAGCCCCGGGAGAGCCCCGTGAGCGCAGCCAACTCCGGCCCCCAGCTCGCTGCGCGGGAGCGGCGGGGCAGCGAACAGGGACGGAGGGACCTGCCTCGCGCCTGCAGGATGGAGCCCAGACCGCGACTCTCAGGGGGTGCAGAGGGGTCGGGGATGGTGCCCTGGCGGGAGACTGGCCAGGGCAGCAGGTGTCCATGTCCTGGCGGGTCAGTGCGGGGCTCGGAGGTGGACTGGGCAGGCGGAGGCGGGGACCTGGTGCCGGGAAAGGAGGCAGGTTCGCGGCCTGGGAGCGCGGAGTCCCCACAGGTCTTACCAGTGAAGTGGAGATCTGTCCCTGAGGCATCCTGGCCACACCCTCGCTGGGCTGGGGTCTCTGGGCAGCACCCCCCCACTGCCTCGGGAAGGGTCCTGGCTCCCCCACCCACCTGTGAGCCATTCTCTGAGTCGGATTCAGGGGTCAGTGGGCCACTGGCGTGACCTGGGTGTAATTCTGAGGCCCAGACCCCAGGGTGGGGAGGCACCTGCTGTCCCGGGGCCTCGGAGACCCAGGGAGAAGAGGTGGTTCTGGGCCTGCTAGGGGCGGTGGGCGGGGGCGGGGGCGGGTCGCTCCCGGCCCTGAGCAAAGGCCGAGTGCTGTGGGCAGGAAGGCCAGGCCGCTCCCTCGGAGCCTCCCGGCGGACCCCGCTGCAGGCGGACCCTGCGGGAAGGGCGGCCAGCAAAGGCGCGTCCCTCGCTGCCCGGGCACACGAGTGCCAGCTGACAGCCCCGGCCGCGGGCCTTGCCGAGGAGTGAGGGGACAGTGCGCTCGTGGGGGCCCCTGGCGTGGGAGGGGCACGGGGAGGCGGGCCGAGGGGCCGGGCGCTGCCCTCCCCACCGGCGTCACCGCGGGGTCCAGCCTCCGAGCTCCAGTGCGGCCTGTCCCCCCTGACGACCAGGGCGCATCCGCTGAGGCCCGCGTGGGAGGCCACCTCCTCCCTCCGCCACCTCCCCTGGCCCTGCCCGGGCCCCTGGCTGCGCCTTCTGCCGGGGCCACGCTCCGGGCTGCTTCCCATGGCCCCCTGCCTCCGTCCGGCCGTGGCTGGGCCCCCACACTCAGCCCCCGCACCTGCAGGGGCGCCCGCTCTGTGCCTCTGCCGACCCGCCTCTTGGTGTCCCAGGGCAGCGGCGGTGTGTTCTCGGGGCGCCTCGGGGACCGACCAGATGCTCCCGGATGAGAACATGAACACGCACCCCACCCCAGGCCTTACAGGGCTTTCCAGGGCGGGTGCAGGGGGTCTGCAGGGGGTCTGCGCCTCCACCCAGAGAGCAGGCTCCTCTCGGGGGCCTCCAGATGCCCGGGCCCAGGGCGTGCCGCCCCCAAAGGGACTTTGTGAGCCAGGCATCTTCCCCACGGAGACTCGGGGCCGGGCCTGGGGGGCCGGGACACCAGCAGCCGGGGGGACGCCCGGGGGCGGTGAGGAACAGGCGGAGCCGGCGGGGCGCTGTGGGGCCCGGCCGCCCGGCCTCCGCGACAGCACGCAGCCCGTACAGCCGCCCCGACCCGGGGCTCAATGGGGGGCGGCCGGCCAGTGGGCCCTCGGCTTCCTGGGCGGCCGGCACCTCCCACCTTTGCAGGGCCCTCTACTCGCCAGCGCCTTCATCCCTTTACGAGGCGCTGACGTCCACAAATGCAGCACCCACAGAAAAGTAGGCAGAATCACACCACACGTCCTTGTCCCCCCACCTGCGCCCGCTCTGTCCCTTTGCTGGTGTCACCCTTCTCTGAGGGCGCCTGTGACCCGGAGGCCTTCCCTTGCGGGCGCCCGCGCACTGGCACCCAGACCACGTCGGGGTGCGGGGCCCTGCCGGCTTTCCGGCCGTGGCAGGACACCGGGTCGTTCTCTGCTCGGGGACTGGTGTGCCCAGGACCGAAGGGGCTGCTGCAAGGTGCCGCTCACATGCGGGACACACACCTCGGTGGCCTTCCTGGGCTGCTCGAGGGGGCATCTTGGGAAGGGTGGGCGTCTGCCCTGCGGGCTCCCCTGGCGGCCCGGCACTGGGTCTCCCTG